ATTAATTATTTTTTCTTATACGCATGACAACAGAACTTTTGCTAGACGTTTTTCTTTTCTATATTGAAATTTAGCTCTTCTCTAGTAAGTGTGGAAAGTTCTCACTTAAGCTAATGAAAAACTTATATTATCAAAAGTAAAGGGCGCATTATTTCCTTAATTACGATACTTATCACCAAAGTTATTATAATTAAAGATCTGTCTGACTTCCTATCGATTTATTAACTGATGGCAAATAAATAGATTCGTTATTTAATAGTTTAAAATTCTAGCATTAATATACACCGGGTCCACGAAAGTGCTTACCTGGCCTTTACTTTCGCAACCGTTAATCGTAGACATTTACTTTCCCTTGCAAAAATATTTTAAATGTCTCAAATATCATATTTCGTAATATTTCAATTTAAAAATATAAGTTTTATAAAAATTACAACATCTAACTTTGTGTTCCCCGGTCCCTGTGCTTATATTTAGGAAAATCTTATGCTCATTGTAAAAAGTAAAATGCAAAACGTGCAACGCCTATTTGATGAAAACTGACCAAGATATTTCATTTCAAATTTGGATATCATATTCAAGGGCCATAGCCAACCAGAAGAGCAACATGATTGCTTTTGTGTGAAATTAAGAATAAAATATCAGTTTAGAAAACGTTTTTGGTATTAATATATCACGGGAAGGGTACTTCCGTGCATATTATCTTTAAAGGTATTGATCAGTATATTTTGTTTCAGAAGGGACATTTTATTTATCGAATCTTGCGGAGTTCTCTTTCTAGAAAATATGGGCAGTACTGGCATATTGTTAATTCGTAACACTATTTGCATAAATAAAAAATAAAAAATATCTCTATTTTAAAGAATTGTTTATGGGGCTTTTGGATCAGGATTCTAAAATAAAAAAATCTGCTTGAGAATATTGATAACATATTTCTAGCGTTTCAAAACGTATACAGGTTTTGTACGAAAATGCGTTTGCACACCAAATGCAACAAAATTATAAATTAAAAAATGTTTTCGCACGAGTAAATCATAAAATAATGTTACTGAATGATCTTTAAGGCGAAAAGTGTCAACCTCAGATTATTCCAGTTTATTTATTAACCCGCCCATCTTTCAAACTAAGTGGAAAACGATGTCAAAAATCCCAATTTTTAAATAAATATCTCATTCAATTCTTGTCGAACGGGATTTGAAACTTTTTGTCTTTTTTATAACGTGCAAAACATTTTCCTAAGTGCAGTTACAAGAAATGGGAAACCACATAAAAATGTTAGATATCTTAATTTGCCGAAAACTGATTTTTGTTTTAATTTGAAATTAGCAAAACATAAATATTTGGGTTATTCAAAACATTTTTGCTACCGGATGTAGATGTCTACGACCAATGGTTACAAACTAAAGGCCGGGTAAAGACTTTTGTCGACACGATGTACAGGAAATGTAGTATATATGTGCTAAATTCAGCAGGCCAAAATAGGAAGTAAAACTAAGCTTTCGCTTCAATGATAATTACAGAGCTTTCTACTCCGATTGAAAAAATATTTGTTTTCTCAAATGGAAGTACTGATATCAAAGTGATCGGAAATAAAATTTTCAAATAATTTAGTTCCTTTTTAAGTCGTCAGCTCTGCTTTCAGTCACTATTATTGCAGTCTGAAACATCACATTTATTATTTTTAATATTTATCTCTAAATTTTCTAGAAACCTCAATTTAAATTTATATGTAGACTTTTTCCGTGAGTCGAATTATTTTGTGAATTTTAGTTATGTATCCTCTAATGGAAGTTATTCTTTGCTGTAGCTAAAGCTAAACCGTTTGCATTTATTTTCTTTCGCTTTGGCTCCACTGCTTAACGAAGCAGTTAAAGAAAGGTTATAAGTTAGGTTGGGTTTTTTTAATATGAAACCGCAATCAAGAGCTGCGTGTCTAAGGGGATGAATGCCTTCATGAAGGACGTTCTAAGGAAACCTGGCTCGTATTCATATTGCAAATCAATTGAGGAATAGAGAATTCTTCTTAATTCGTCTCTTAAAAACTCGAAAATTGAAGGTATACTTTACCATTGCCTTGTCCGGTGTCGGTTTGCATGAAGTGCTGTTAATTCAGCAGGCATCAAAGTAATTAGTGCCTACCACTTAATGATTAGTACTAAGGAGAGGCGGTCTATTAGAAAGTTTCCGTTCTGAGTAAGAAATAAATTTGCTTTTAGGAAACTTTGAAAAAGTTTAATATTTAGTAGAAACTAATGGAATAAGAAATTTTGTCTGTAACTGTAATTTAAAAAATGAAAAAGAAAAAAAAGAAAACTTGCTTTTTATTCGACATATTTCTTGAATTTTGCCGTCCTAAGAGTTAATTGAAAAATGAAGAAAATAAAAGCTTTCCTAAAAATGATTTGGAAATATTTTAACCGCTTTAAAATGGCAATCCTTGATTTCAGTATTCGATTTGTAGATCTACTGAATATTGAAGTTCTCGATTGAATTAAGCCTCCTTTTATTCTTATATAAACCGGTACTTTTATTCCATTAGTTCTTCATATGGTTGAAGCTGGATTTAGCCATGTTAAAGCCCTTAAGACAAGCAGTAAAACATGCTGAATTTAGAAGAAACAAAATTTATACTTAAAGCTCATAAGGCATAAAGCCCTCCGCAAATCTTCTCACAAAAACACACTTAGCTTTCGCATTAAAAATACTATTTCAGTACAAAATATCATATTGCTTGATTGATTGCAAATGCTCCATAATTATGCACTATCTTAATTATTAATATTCAAGACCCTCTTACAAAAGGGAATTAAAGTGTATTGCAATGCCCAATGGAGATCTTCGTATTTTTGTGGCATCATCAAAGCAGCAGTTGTTGAGATCAGAATTTTGGAATCATTGTATCAAATAAAAGCATTGAAACGCAGATTAAATTGCGAAATTAGAAGTATCCCATTTTTGCTGTATTTAGAATGAAAAATGTACGTGGTGGGTGTATATAAAAGAGTTCAGTTTTGAAAATTCGCGTTATGTAGATGGAAAAATCAAGGACCTTGCGGCAAGCGATTGATTACATTTCTCCTCTTAGAGGAGCTTTTGACCTGATGCCCACCACCTCTCATCTAATACGGCGGCAGGGTTCAGCCTATGTAATACCCTTATCAATGTGGTGGAACACATAATAAAATTATCTATGAATGTACCTGCCAGTAGCCAAATGGTTAGCTAAATTCTGGTAGTTTGTTTCCAGGTCTACGGGCCAGCTGTATGGGATTTTCGTACATTTGTCCACGCATTATGCGAATATGGTACATATTCTCTTTGCAGTCTTGTATGAAAGTATCCACCCTTCAGCAGACAGCCCTGGTGTTCTTTATCTTAATCGTTTAAACCAGGGATGTCAAACTCATAGGTACACTTGGACCAAACAAACAAGGTTTAACTTTAGGCGGGCCGCAAAAAATACAATTTTTCGTTTAATTTTACTACCACTTGGTTTTGATATAGACATACTGAATGCAAAGGACTGGAATAAACACGGTTAACGTTAAAAAGTTAAAAAAAGTTTATTCTTTCCACAAGAGATAAATCAAAATGCTGAAATATTTCTTCAAAAATATTCTAACAATATGACAAAACGTCAAACGTTTAAGCAAAAATCAATTCAAAACAGAGAAACTAATTCTATCTCACAGCGAAATCGCTACAAATCAATCACGGAATTAAGTAAACAAACAGTTCGCTAGAACTACAGCTACTACTGAGATGAGTTGTTTGTTCTCGGCTTTTATAAGCTTTATAATTAATTTCTCGAATATACTGGAAACATCTATAAATATCTGGATTTTTGTGGATGGCAAACAGCAAATTACGAGATATTTATTTATTAGGTATTAAATGCACGTGCTGTTATATTTTTAACCTTCCAACGCAGCTGTCTTTCAAAAATAATCTGCGTTGCTAAGCGCAACATGAAGCAAATCTAATTATAATTCTAAATAAAAAAAAACTAATAAAATAAATAACTATTGAAATCCGTAACAATATGAATTTAAGTAATAATTAATAATAAAGCATAGTGCATGCACATGCATGCACCAATATATCGTTCAAAACTATGATTGGAAAACTGAGACCATGAGTTCGGCCACATTCGGCTATCGGGGGATGCGTACAAGTTCTGAGTGCACGTGTCCTCCAAAAGCCGAAAGTAGCTGAACGCAAGCTACTCACACGCATTTGTAATTTAAGTAGTGTGTGTGTCAGCTCGCTGTGAGTAATCTAACAACATTGAATAAATTATCGTTAATTACTTAGCAGTAAATATTTCATTTTTTTCTTCGTCGATATGTTATTTTATTATTATATATTATTATTTGCCGATATATTGGCCGGGACGCAAAAATATTTGTTGTGGGCCGCGAGTTTGACATCCTTGGTTTAAACAATAGCAATTGAAAAGTTTGAATGGAAAATGGATGAAACGTTTTTTAAAAGTGAAGGGAGAAGAGAAGCATGTCAAATTAAAACATAAAATTTGGCAAAGCAACAACCTTTCTTAGAAGGTTGTTGCTTTGCCTAATTTCATGTTTTCTAAGTGGCTTAAGTTAATATTTTACTGATTGGATGTTTTCTTTACAGGAGCCATATATAAGGTTAAATTTTTTAGGTGCAGGACTCTCATCGTTTGAGACTGTCTTCAGTTTGTTTTAAAAGCAAAACAAAATTTGTGATTTTTAGAAAACCATTACTTCTTATTTCAAACATATGGTTTGTATATGGCTAGTATATGCTCTACACTTCTTCAAGGTAACCCGATGATATCATACCTGCGTATTCGAAGCAAAATTCCAAAGAAGAAAGGAAGTTTGTTATTTTACTTGCTAGTGACAAATATTAGAAATGATTCAAAATAGTTGTTCTTACAACAAATATTAGTTTAACTTAAGTTGCTTCTTTTTTAAAGATAAAGTTTCTAGCTCACAAATATCACAAATCTCTTCTAGATCAAGTACTTTATGGAGCCAGCAGTGCATGCTCTTCAGTATCTGGATGTCATTCAAATGAAAGACTCAACGCATAAATCCCACTTCTACCATAATTTGCAAGGAACTCTATTTAGCATTCCAAAGGTAAGTTTTTTTACGTTAACTTTCATTGCTAAACGAATTTTTCTTAAAATGTATTCATATCGTTGCTGATAGAGAATGCTACTACAAATGAAACTAATAGCATCCAAGAAAATAAACGGTAAAAATGTATAGATTAATTAAAGCGGAAGCGTTTCCTGCATTTTTTATTTTATTGCCTTCTTTGGCTAGAACAGTTGCGCACAATTAACCTAATTTTGGCTTAGAACTGTGTTCAGAATTTTTTTTCAGTTTGCACTGAATGGTTACAGCCGAAAACATCGCGGACGAAAACATCGAAGAGAAAACAACTCAAGGCGAAAACGTCGTGCTACAAAACATCGTGGGAGAAAACATCGCAAAGAGAAAACATCGCAGTTCTAAAACATCGTGGTACAAAACATCGTCCTCGAAAATAAAGCGGTTCAAAAACTTCGCAGTTTGAAAACATCGTCGTCGAAAATATCGTGGTAAAAAATAAAGTATCTACAAATCATCGCATGACGATAACATCGCAGACCTGCTTTTGTTAGACTTTAATAACTGTAAATAGATATTCCCATAATAATTTGTGAGCGCAAGCTGTAAAGAAGAATAATTTTTACTTTCACATTTTTTTATTAACTAATAAATTTTTGCTGAAAAAGTAAGAAGGAGGCATAAGCATAGAAAATTAAATGCAACTTATAGATTATAATTTTTATGAAAAATTACCAGTAAAAACTTTATAAAAAATGATTTATTAATGGTCTTTGTTGTTTAACTATGTCGGTTTAAAATTCTATTAAGTGCTATAAGTTGCATTAATTTTCTATGCTTAACAAATTATCTTTATTTCTATCTTGCGCTCACAAATTATTATGGGAATATCTATTTACAGTTATTAAAGTCTGAATGGATATTCCCATAATAATTTGTGAGCGCAAATTATTATGGGAATAATTCTGAAAAAGCATGTCTGCGATATTATCGTCACGCGATGATTTGTAGATACTTTATTTTTTTACCACGATATTTTCGACGACGATGTTTTTAAACTGCGAAGTTTTTGAACCGCTTTATTTTCGACGACGATGTTTTGTACCACGATGTTTTAGAACTGCGATGTTTTCTCTTTGCGATGTTTTCTCCCACGATGTTTTATAGCGCGACGTTTTCGCCTTGCGTAGTTTTCTCTGCGACGTTTTCGTCCGCGATGTTATCGGCGGACACCCACTGAACTGAAGATTTATTGATCTGAATTTCTTTCTTGCCCAAGATCTTAATTATTTAACACGAATTCTAATCATCTTACGAACGCGTTTCACCTGATATCACTGACTGAAATCTAAAAACATGTTAATTTGCTGGAGGAATAATAGTTCGAATGGATAGTCTTAAGTTGCACTTTCTCTTTTCCCCTTTTATTAGTTACAGAATTGTTTCTGTTATCCCTTCTGTCATTGCGTTCAAATCATAATTGTTAGGATATGATCCACACTTAAAGATTCTAAACGTGAATTGAAGTGAAAACTATTAATATATGCAATACGCTTTTGTAAATATGTCTTATCGTACGTAAGGTGATTCAAAAGGTCTTAGAAAAACTTTAGAGGTGGACCAGAAACACATCAAACCATTCTCGCATAGGAATATATGGCCGTAAACGTTCCCAAACCGTGCTAGAGAACATTCTTTACTAAAAATTGCATTTGGAAACAAGAGTCATTTTAACTAAACGTGTTTTTGTGACGCTTCATACATGTGAAATGAAAGGAACCGGGCGTGCCGCTATGTTATTGCGCACACAAACCCATATCCCCTTATCGGATGCAAAACGCATGAATCACAGGTATATGGAAATGGATTCTTCTACGTTAATACTTTTTGCAGTCGGGAAAGAAGGACGTTCATGTCTGTCAAAGAAGACGTGAACGTACACCATATTGAGCCTAATCTGCCTTAAAATGTACGAGGATTTCCGTATTACGTCTCTAAACCTCAGTTAAGTGTGTATCAGGTATTATACAAGGAACGTTCATAGCCTTTCTGTATGGAAATGTTACTGTAGTTTAAGTGTTTACATACTTTCCATATATAAGCGGTCCTGTGATTAAAGCCATGATATTAGTCCAAGAGAGGAATTAATACTCTACAAAGTTACCCAGTTTTTTTTTCAAAAACCTATTGCACACACACACATACACACAGAACTCTTCATTTTTAAAACTGTCTTCACTACTGATGGTATTTTTAATGTGTAATAGTGTGGCGCATGAAAACCAAACGACCCAGTATTGTGCAACATGAATTCACCATAAATATTTCAATGGGCATTGTTTGGCGGCTGTGTGCTTGGACTGTCTGATCGTCTTCCATTATGATTAAATGAGCGTAATTAGCGGATATTTTTGAAGACAGTGTTACAGGAACAATGCTACGGTATTCTTTCATCTGTGCGACGCCATCCTGATTGGTGATTGGTATGGTGCTTAATGATGCTGGCTGACGTATCGTTGAGCATGGGTTTGAATCTCGATGAAAGCATGGATGTTTGTGAGTGTGCTGGATCTGCACAGCATGGTGGAGCTTAAAATACTGGCAAGGGGAAAGCCCAATCAAGTTACGATATTTGGTGGAAAAGGAAGGGTTGGAGGCTCTCCGACCCATCCATCCGTCCCAGTTGTAATCTTCATTACAACTGGGACAGAGCTACACAGTTATTGCGGCAAAAGTATACCTGTCCGATCAAAAACGAAATTCTAGTGTTTCGCCTATCTGTGTGGCGGCATATGTACTTTCAGCACAAAAGGAAATCGTACATTTTAACTTCCTGTGTGGGTTTATATAAGCAGCAACTTACTTGTACAATGGATTGGCATGGGAGTACCTTTAGCTTGGCCACCAAGATCACTTAACTTACTCTTTTATTATTTCTTTGTCTTAGCTACCTTAAACGTCATCTGTACGACATCCTCGTAGTCTGACATTGACTTCCCCGCAAGAAACGGTGACTCAAAAGACAGCAGCATGGCAGATCCATGAGATATCAGAAGCGCATGTAATAATATCATATCTTCATATAAGCAGCATAAATAGCACCATGTAATATCAGCAGCTTGAATTCATGAGATGTCTGACACTTTTTAACATATTCGCTGATCCAGGCGTCGAAGTTTCAGGATATTGCAACATCTGCTTTGTATTAACACAAATAGAATGAAACTCGAGCACTTCCTTTCAAATTTATAAGTAAATATATGGCAAATAAACATATTCTCTTATCTTACTTGCGTTTTTTTTCATCTCTAAGAGGACGTTCAAACTGTGTCAGAGCACTCACAATTATCATAGCGATTAACTTCGTTAGCTTAAATTACTCATTAGGTTCGTTCACACTTGTGAAACAGGATTTAAGCCATAGCCAGTCAGGAGAGATGAAGCTGCGCTTGCGTTAATCTGCATCTGACTCAGCGAAATCGTCGATAGGATGTCATCTTGTGTTTGCTTCTCTTCACATGGTCGGTTCATATACCAGGTTGGTATAAAGTGAAACAGTTAGACGAAATCGTTTTACTAGGCCCCTCGGCATAAGCAAGGTCTGTTTGCCTAGCAATGAATTTTGGCTGATGTAAAAATAAAGCCTTTGTTTGAAAGCTCCATAGCTCCTCCATTCTGCAGGCGACTACAACAACATGTTCCTATGTGAAAATGATTTGTTTTTGTGTTACTGACATACCTTTATTGCTTATTAAAACCTTTTTGAATCTCTCTGTATAAACTAAAAGACAGGAGCTTTAAAATTTCATAGTATGGAAAGAGAAATTTAAGTTTAAAAAGAAAAAGTTCATTAATCAACCATTTCTGCCATTAAGTTGCCTGTTTCTCGACCAATTTCTCGACAATGTATAGTGTCAGATATATCAAAAGAATTTCAGCTAACAAGCTGGATTCATTTTAAGATTTTTCATCTATGTATATAAGTATTTCATTTTTTTTTCAATCATTGGAATTCCGTCTTTATAAGCCTCCAGCCTTCAGACAATTAATTTAGGATTCATTTTTGCTGTCCATTTGCCTCAAATCCTAGTAATAAACCTTTTTTTTATTCTCACGTTATAAAAAGTTTTTATACCTTTTTCTAGCTTTCATTTTTTATTGTTCCTTCTTTCTCTTTAATCTATCTTTGTATGCTTGTTAGATTCGCCGAAGAAGTCAGTGTGATAAAGCTAATGGAATATCTTATTTTCATAGTTTAATGTTTTAAAAAATATCATTTGGTTACTAAAATTTATTAAAAATTGGTTTACTTACTCATTGCTTTACTATACGATTTATGTAGATATTACGCTTTATTAATTCATACTAATAGCAACTTTAAAATTTTATGCTGTAGCTTAAGAAAAGCCTCATTGATTATAGTTTCTGTTACTGCTTTTGAATCTTTGCTTTTCCTGAAAATTTATTTTAAAATAATTACTCTTACTCGTAAAGTTGCAACCTTATTATTAGTAATAAATAATTACGTCTGAGCTTTGAACTGAGCGTAGCATTTAAGCTGGTATAGATTAGAATCTTGCAAGATGATTACAAAATTTTCATTTATCGTTTGATGAATAAGAATCGTTTTTTTAATGTACAAATTCACCTGGCTTGCATAATACAAGCATACACAAGTCTTAAAGAAAATATTATCTACAGTTTTAAAACAACCGGAAATTTTCTTAAAATTTAAAATTTGTATAATGCATGTTCTTAGCGATTGAGTAGAAAGTCTGTTAACAATGTTTTCACTTACTTTGATAATAATACGTCAATGATCAATAAATCAAATGCAGTCAACCAACTATGTAAATTTTTGAAAATTTAATATTTAACAGTACTTCCCAAGACAATGATAAAACTATCATTTTTTGCTCATTATCCCATAATACAGTATTTTCCGTAATAATGTTACTGTTTGTGTACTGTTTGGTTACTGTTTGTGTGCACTAATATACACTAATTGAATCAACGAATGGCGCTGCCTACGCATCTAACTATGAATCCACATCTAAATTTCAAAAAATGGTGGTTCAGTTATGATTCTATGATCAAAATACTCAATCTACTTTTAGAAAGGATTTATTAAATACTGAACAAATTAATCTGATCTATAATCTAGAATCAAATCTAATGTTACATCTCATGAGCAGCGTTCGAGCTGCGTCATAACAAATCGAAAGTCAAGTTCCCACTGTTGCCATTCCGAGGCAGAGAAAAAGTTTGTTTCTAATCAAGCCGGAACATCGGCAGAGGAAAGTTTCGGAACAGTTACTATTATTTCGCATTAACCAGTTATTTATAATTTAAGCCTTTATTACAACTTCTCCTTTCCGTTTCCTCACCAGAAACGTAAATGAGTTAGACGGTACTTAAGCTGAAGTTTTGGGAATGTAAGACAGAGCGTGTATCTGTCGCTCGTGGTCACGTATGCCAGCTCTAATATGCTTTCAATTATTCGACTTTTCGTTATTTCATGGCGACATTTAAATTGTTTTTTCTGGTTATAGGTTTGAGTCAACTTCATTTAAATGTCTTCTATAGTCTTCAACATATAGCCTACGTTTTAATTTAAATTTAGCTGTTATTTTTAATTACAAGTGGTTGTCGATCCTGTGAGCACGAGAAGTGCATTTATATTCCACGTTCTGTTAAATAAAAAGGTTTTTTAAACATTTTCAAATCTCTGTAGTTGTTTCAGATATAGCAATAATACGCCTTAAGTCTATTAGGAGTTTGAAACTGGTTTACGTTTCCAAAGCAAGTTAAACTGTATACTGTATATTTCTTATTACAAAGAACAGAAAAATTTATATAATTGTCATTAGAATAAAAAGAAAAAAATGGTTAGAATTTTCTTAACTCGTAATGCTGTCTTGAAAAGAGTAAATTCATAGTCAAAATAATACAGTTAATACTAAAGTGTAATAACTACTGATGCAGAAAATCCTTTTTTCATTATGTTTTTCTTTAGGTATGATCTGTTCATGTGTAATGTCATTATAACTCTAAATAGTTTCTCACAGCATCATAATTCTCTAACAAAATATTTCTCTTTTTATTTCTGTGCAGAAACTTTGGTTTCAGCATGTCTTGCCCTCACTAAAGACAGAACTTCAATCTCCAGAAGTTTTAGCAGCTGCCTTGCAGCCTTTGCTGTTTATGATTGAAGAGAGCACAACAGAAGAATATCAGAATGAAATTTTGCCCGTGTTCAGGACAGTATTTAGTATGCCTAAATCCGTTCAGGTAAGACAGCCTTTTATTTGTCTCACTTCACGGTTATCATTAGAAACAACTTAAAGTAATAAATCCTCTTTCATTGGATTAACCGGTAAATTACAGATTGATGAAAGTAAAGGTTGAGAAACGCAAATTTAAGAGTCATAATCGCATTGTCTGAACGCAAGATACACACGAAAAATAGAGTTCTAGATGCTATCGCTGTAGTTAGAAATGAAGATACTGTCCACATTATGACATGAATCTTCGATAATTTTCATTTATCACTCGTAAAACTGAACCTCAGAAACGTCATCCAAATTTTAGACTGAGTGTCAATTTTAATTACATTTTTAACTTAACGTAAATAAATGTAAGTCAGGAAAGAGCGAGTTAAAATATTTAAAACTACAAAATATCACTGGGCTCAAAAATTGGCCGCATAGATAAATACATACATTTATGACTTTTATGGATTATGTTTTGTATATAATAAAGGCGGTTACAAAAACTAGAATTTTATAAACTTTAACAATGGATAGTTATATGTTTACCTGTTAAGTGCTCTTTCCAAGTCTGTAGTACACGTAGTCCCGGGGATATAAAAATGACTTTTTGGAGTACGAAAGAAATTAAATAATGACGAAGAAACAAAACTACGTCTACGTGATTATATAAGACCATTAACTTATAATGTGTGTCTAAATATCATAAAGAGAGGAGAGCGATTTACCTTCGTTAGATGAACTGTCAACTATTCAAAGTGAAGCTGACTGATCTGATAGAAATTAGATGTATTTTGTACTTTAATCGGTGGAAGCTCTGTTAAAAAATTAGTTCTTCTCTTGGTTATTTTCGTAGATAATCGTGAGTGTTAAAATAGTATGTTAATCGAAAAGTAATGCAAGATTGAGATAGATAATTTCAATTAGTAAAAAAAGAATTTGTGAAAATGTAAGTATTAATATGCATGCCTCATTACAACTTTTGCTCGTACTTCAGGCACAATTTCATACTCTTTCTGAAGAATTCTATAAGGTATATTCTTCCTCTCTTCTTCCGCATGCCTATAAGGTGTAACTGGAAACATACTCGATGCTTATTCGAGAGGTCCATGGTTCGAGTCTCGGCGAGGTCACTGCACACTTTTCACGTCTCCTGCTTCAAAAAGACGTACTTACTCACAAGTGGCGCCCGAACTAAAATGGTGGTGGATGATAATTCGTCACTACCAAGATTTAGCTACTGAGTCCCCTCACCCCTAGTCGCCCTTTAAAAAGGGGAGTAAATAAGGTATTTTCTCCCTCTTTTCCATCTGCCTTCAGGGTGTATTTGGAAGCATACTCGATCCGTATTCGATAGGTTCAGGGTTCGAATCCCTACGAGGCCACTGTACATTTTTCACGTCTCCTGCTTCAAAATAACCTAATGTCTCTACAATTATTTTGATATTGCGACAAAATCACCAGTTATTAATTTTTCCTCTTTCTCTTTATTGTGGATGTCTTTGCCAACAAGAAATAGTATGCATGGGATTTAATTTAATAAAAGCTGTAGAGGAATATGTATGAACTTTTAGGCGAATGAGTAAGAATTTCCCACTTATTAATTAAGGCATTATTGCAGTATTAATTACCTGCTTGGTTTACACAACTGATCGGTTTATTAATGCAGATCCCTTGGTTCTTAAAGATCATTTCAATCTACCTAATACGATAAAAGTTTCTGCATTAATGGTCTGGTTAATTTAGAATAGGTCTAAGTAAACCCCGCCTTTCGTATCCGCCGCTTGCTGCAAAACCTACTTTGGTTGCGATCTAGGTTTTTGTGAGAAACCTGATTTCTTTCTTGTTCTCAACCGCTGTCTTTCTCCAGCAGCTGTTAGCATAAAAAATACTTTTTTCAACTTAAGATACAAACGCTTTAATAAAAGATACATTTCTTCTGAGCAGAGAAATGCAAATCTATACTCTTTGCTGATGTTTTTCAGCTGTGAGATCATATGCAAAAACAGCACTGGCACTAAAGCACGTATTATTCATTTGAAGTGATCTGTTGCTGTTCCCAGTGCACAGTGAAGCCTCTACATTACTTCTTTATGGGTGATATATAGGTTTTTGACTGTATCATTTTTAGTTTATCATTAAACCACCACCTCTCAGTCGGAAACATTTACGCTCGGAATTAAAGATTAAATTGTTCACTTCGGAACTTCTTTAACATTCATTGATAGGACCTGTGTTTACTGAAAACATCTTCAGTTTGACTTTCGTAGAACTTTCATGTAGGTGAAATTTCTAAAGCATGATAGTGAAACAGGTTCAAATGCTAACCGTGAGCATCGTTAATGGACTGAGGATTGTAAACTCGTCATTAATTCCTAATATCATCAGTATCTAATTAATTGCTAATATCGCACTGTTTGTTCCAAAGGATAAAATTTATCACATTTCTTCTTGTCCAATCGGCTTTTTATTTTGCTTTTATTCTTGACGAGCTAGATGTTAACGAGACAGTACTTAACGTTTTTATTTAGTTATAACATCACGTCATTTACCTATAAATAACATTATTGAAAAGATAATTCAGGAGAATTGGCAAAATACGGACAGATTACCAAGATTATAGTAATTTCCAAAAATAATGATTTCAGCACCACTTAAGCAGTCTTATGTGCGCTTCAATTTGGCAAGCCATAGTTCGGTATTATTTTCCGATCAATCTAATATTTTTAGTTAACTGAAGCAATTTTAACTTTTTAGTTATCAATAGCTTTTATGATTGTAGTTAACAATGATAGCAAAATCAAATTATAAGTTCCAGTTTAATCTCAAAACTGTCCCGATCAGATTCATAATCATGGAAATTGACCGTGGGACTTCCATTCATCTTCGACTACTGCCTTCCTGATACTGGAGAATATATAACCGGGCATCCGACTCGGTCCAGTAACATCTATTGATTGATAAGAGGAGCTCACGGACATGGCTTCACCGAGTTAGCTCATACATAGCATAATAGAAAACCTTAACATGAATGTCCCTGCAGACACCTAGCTTGCTTGCCTTTGCAAATGCCTAGAAACGGGAAAAAGAAAGTGGCGATGACCAGGTGTCAATGACAGCAACATTTTGCTGCTGCCATGTTTAGAAGCGTATTTTGTCGCTCAGCTTTTAGATTAAATTTTATAAATGACAAAATCGAAATTTTTGCTGCATTATATCATCTATGTTGTTAGAATATAGCAAATGACGTCTCTTAAAAACGTTAATTCCATCTTTCAAGATATTCCTTAAACATACTTCTCCTGTATAAATATCCCTTTAAAGTAAAAGAATGTTAAAAGACTTTTTGATATAAATAAACTAGAGGACTCCTGCCACGGAAGTTGGAACTATAGTCTACTTATCTGCTTCATCTTACTCAGAACTCGACCAAAGGAACGTTGGATAAATATTACTTGAAAATTTAACTTCTATTTCTTGGCTTATTTCTGAGAATTGTGAGCTACTTGCGTGCATAATATGCAAACACTCCTAATCTTATAATTCCGCAATTTTTAATTTCTGTATCTTCCTGTTCATTTAAAATTGCAAAGTGGTAATTTGAAAGTGGAGCTATCATATTAAGTACACTTAAATTCTAATTAACCTGTTTGTTTTTTTATATGCAAAAACAGTGGCCTGTGAAACCTCGGAAGAAAGGAAAATATGTAAATAATTACGTTCATTAATGGATTATGTCAAATCAAATTTCATTAGTCTGAAAACGAATCATTATCCAAAAACATAACCACCTGGGACTTTAAAAAATTATTAAAATATCTTACTGTATAGATGAAATTAATTTTCATCATTCATGGAGAAAATTCATGATCGAATATTCATTGATGTCGATATTATACCTGAAGAAAATTTCTGAAAGGGAAATCATACGCTTCTTTGTAAATAGCATGAGATTATTTTTACTCGCATATTTTTGGTAATCATATTTCTATTAAATTTTCTGCTACTGCATTCATAATATATTACTACTAATTTTAATCATTATATTTTCCCAATTTCCCGCATGCGATATTTCTCTAGGAGTTTAAAAACGAAATAATTACAATGGAAATAAATTTTTAATTTTTTTAATTACTGTTTTTTTTTATAAAATAATTAAATAAAGAATAAATTTAAAAGGAAGATTTTTCTAAAGAATTTCCTTTATTCTAGGATATTCAAAGTTCACATTCCTATCCAAAATGATTCGTATATAGTTGAGTCACTTTTATTTATTATGAAAATGAGTCTGACCATGGGATAACTGAAAAGTTTGTTATATGAAATCACTCTTTCCCACTTAGTTCGAACATACAAAGAACTTTGTTTGCAATATTGCAAAAAAAAATGGATGCCAATGGAGGTTTTCTTTGTGACTAAAATAAATCTTGTTTACCACCTACAAAAAGCTGTGTAAATTTTTCTTTTCCTTTGTAGATTTTTACTGATTGATGCCTTAGTAATAATTATACATAATAATAATAATAACTAACTCTTCATGAACAAAAAGCAATGTTCTTCAATTTAATGTTTAATTTATTGATAAGTCAGATTTTTAAGTTTGTTTAATAAGGACGCTGAAGATACTAGACAGGTGTTTTAAAAATATTGCTGCGCTAAACTTCCTTTGAAAAGCTGTTTTCAAACCTATATGAGTCACATGAATTAGGCCTTCAGATTATTGAAGTTTCAGTTGTGTATAAGTTATTACCTCATTTCTCCATGCGGATTCCAGAGCTGTAAATTCTAGCATGCCCAGCTAGAAACTAGAAGAGCAATTGTTTAAATCCCGATCATAGCCTGGTTGAATGTTTACATTTTTCACTCCCATAAAAATCTGATTATCTCTGCTTTCAGAACAGTATTTATTTTATTTCAGAAATAATAATCTGAAATAAAATAAATACTGTCTGCCCTATGGGACTGATTCATTTTTGATGCCTAAACTATCAGAATTCACCGGTTTTATCGTTCGGCTGCTAG